CTCTCTCTCTCTCTCACACACATACACACACACACACATATGTCTGCTCTCTCTCTCTCTCTCTCTCTCTCTCTCTCTCTCTCTCTCTCTCTCTCTCTCTCTCTCTCTCTGAGGGCAGGTGTGTGTTTGTCTGTTTTTCCACTAGAGGAGAGCCAAGAAGCGGAGTTAGTTCGACTACCCTCTTTTCCTGCTCTTTGCTGTGCTGGTTTTTGATGCGTTGCCTCCCGTTTTGAATCCTTTTCTAGTTTTGTTTTCCCTTCCTTTTCTTTCCGTTTTTTGTCCTGTCAGACTAAGTGTTTATGCTGGGTCATGCGCGCATCCTGTTCTGGTGGCCTGTAGCAGATGCTTCAATATGGGGCCTTAGGTTGTGCTCCCCTTTGGGCATTCAGACTCTAGATGATTGATCCAAAGCGACTTGTGCATAAGAAAATCAGGGTAGACGCTGCCAGTTTCCACTGGGACTGTTTCTGTGGGCCCCATTCCATGGTGGCAGTTTCCACTGGGCCCATTCATTGGAGCCAATTTCCACTGGCGGGCCCATTCATCAGCGCCAGTTTCCTGTAGCGGCTTGTTTTTCTGCTGGGCCCATTTCTTCTGGACCAATTACCACTGGTGGGCACATTCATTCGGGCAATTTTCTATTCTGGTGGGCCCATTTCCGTTGAGCCAATTTGCACTGGTGTGCCCATTCGTTGGCGGCAGTTTCCTCTGTGAGCCCATTTCTGTTGGGCCTATTTACACAGGTGGACCTATTCACTGGGGCCAGTTTCCTCTGGGGTCCCCATTTCTGTTGGGCCAATTTTCACTGGTGGGCCTATTTATTGGGGCCAGTTTCCTCTGGGCCCATTTTTGCTGGGCCCGTTCATTTACGCTCATGGCAATCACAAGCCATGAATCTGGCATCTAGGAGGTTGTGTTTTATTGAACATCAAACACTTTTTATTCGTTTCTTTAGTTTTTATCTTTAATTTTTCCATTACTGGGAGTGCACACTGTGTCTTTGCTGCTGGAAGAGATGGAGCACCCACACCCACCCACCCACCCACACCAACACACACATACCCCCACCCAACACACACACACACATACACACAGACAGTTTTCCCCTAATGAGCTGCGTGTAGCAATCACAATTTTTCTGGAGAGACCATCTCAAATCAGAGGTTTCACTTTTTCGAAGCTTTTTCCTTCACAGACAAGCCTCAGCATTCCTCCTTTTGGGAAAAAAAAAAAAAAAAAAAGATCGTTGCTTCCCTTACTTTGTGCTCTGTGACTCTATCAAATTTTTGAGCTTGCACCTTTTTTTTTTTTTTTTTTTTTTAAGTCATCTATGTTCTTCTCTCAATCTTCTTTTTTGTATATATTCTATCTCATCGTCTCACTACTCTATGTATGGGGGGAGCACCAACCAAACCCCCCAGCTCACGGGGTAGGTTTGCACCACAGCAGTGGTGCAAGAGCGAGGCTTGTATCAGCCCCTCATCACGATGATGCAGGGTGATCAGGCATTGCCGACAGGGTAAACCGGCGATGCTAGTGCCGAGCATCTTTGGCCAGTCGCTTGCACCTCCCCCTACCGTCCTCCAACCCCACATTAGAGGTGTCTAATGGTGAATATCATTGCTGCATAGCAACCAACAATATTTGGCCAAGGTCCTGCCAATGCTGGCTTGGAGAGCCTACGGGTTATCTCTAGCTGGTAGAACACCAAGCTTGCCCAGGCACGTACGTGAGGCCAATCGGGATTGAACCCACGGCCTCCTGAATGTAACTCGTGTGCCTTACCAACTGAGCTAAGCCCGCAGGCTTGCACCTTTTTCAATGTGGGCAGTTTTTCGGTTTTATTTATTTTTATTTTTTTAAATAGAACAACCTGAGTGGATGCTAGGGGTGCTGATAAGAGCAGGCACCACTAGCATTCCCGGGAAGGCTCCATCTATTGGTGGGGAGCGGCACCTGCTGGAACCTGCTGGAAAGTGGGTCCAGCGTCCCAGGACGTTGTGTGTTTATTTGATCAGACGTGCAGATAAAATGACAGCAAGCTACTTGTTCCACTTCACCCCTTTCATCCAGCAAACGGCCTGTTGTCTGATGTGTGTGTCTTCACAGTGGGCTGTGGGCTGAATATCCAGGTCAGAGATGCGTGGTCCTTCGAAGACATTGTTTCTGTTTTCGGGGCACTAGGTGATAATAAAAGGGCCTTTACCCGATTCAGGCCCTGCTCGGCAAATACAGCATAGAGGGGTCACTCGCCAGGGCCCAACTCGTGAAAGCAGATCAAAGGACATGTTCTCTGGGTCAAAAGTCACATCCTAGTTAAACCCAAAGCCAATGTCAAAGGTCACAGTTGTGCCCCTGATCGAACAGCTGCGATGTTTAGATTTGGAGGTCATCTCTGTTCGTCCAGAGGGTGTGCAAGTGGTGTCTGTTCATACAGGAGATGTGTCTGTACGTGCAGTATGAGTGTCTGTTCGTGCAAAATGTGTGTCTGTCCAACAGGAAGTCAAAGGGCAGGTTTCCAGTTCTGTCTAAGTCTAATATTGGGTCTAGATTCAGATACCCAGTCCGAAATTCAGGCCAGATGGCCGCAGCAGCAGCAGACCCTGAGGGGAAAATACTGGGACACGCACATATGCATGGGTCTGGGACTAAGGAAGGCCCAAAGTGCCAATACAGGCCAATGCAGACCTCGCCAGGGGAGGCCAGCAGTATAAAGCAATAGGCCAGCCTCCTTTGACATCAGATTCTCCAGTGGCATTGATGCGTGGAAGTGCTGTAGCACTCGTGCGTTAGCTTGCTGGGTGAGCGCTGGCAGGAGGAAGGCTGGGCGCTGGCTTGCAAGAGGCAGCCATAGCTGCGCCAGCATGTTAGTAGTAGTCATAGAAGGGTTAGTTAGTAGTAGTCATAGAAGGGTTAGTCAGTAGTCTTCAGTGAGTAGCATTCTAAGTAGATCTTCGTAGTAGGAGTGTGCATGTATGGTGGGACTAGAGAGCCAAGACTGAGATCCAAGAGAGAGAAGAGCAAGAGAGTGGGGTAGGATCTGGCTATGGTGGATACTTACCTGTTGTGCGTTGTACTTGAGTTCTGAAGGTGGCGCTGGCTGAGCCAGGCCCCATTCGTGAGACAGAAGAAAGAAACTCGTGATAATGTTSGGCRCTGAACTTTGGATCTSGATATACTYTTGTATAATGTGTTAATGAYTAATTGASCTGCRCAAYTTGGTTCTATTCCATCTCATTTGGACTATGTGTGAGCTTCATCTTGTGTGTGAGTCATTGTCCATGCATGTGTTGTGATACACTCCAGCAAGAGAAGGACAGTCAGGTCCCTTGCAAACTTGGTATCGGAGCAGAAGCTTGTTGCACTCACTGCGCCGTCATGAGTAAGGCCGGCGAGAAAAAGAAGAGAACGCTGGCTTGGTGCTGATGCTTGCGATGGTGGAAGTGTGACACAGGTGTGGATTGTGATTGGGGAAGAAGTAAGCCAAAGAGGAAGGGGCAGAAGAACACTTACCTGGAGCGCTGGAGTGCGGAGCAACGAGGAGCTTCATCGACGGCCGCTTCAAAGAGAGAAGAACCTCCATATCCCCTTACCTGGCTGTGTGTGTTGTGTACTCTAATTCTTTCCCTCTCTGGTGGTCGCTGCTGCTGCTGTCTACCTAAGGTCTGGTATGGGAGTCAGGACACGAGTGTCTGGTCACATTAGAGGCAGTAGTGGTCAGAGTCATGTAGGTCCTCTCTTCTACCCCTCTAATCTGACATTTGTAGGTGGTAGTAAAGGTGGGGAATACTGGTGTTAGTGGCTGATTGCCACGTCAGAGTGCAAGCACGGTATCAAGCAAAGTTAACCGGGCAGTGAGAATCTGTGTGATCGAAGTATAACCCGGGTACTCTGACATAGTCATATTCCAACTTCTCCCTGCGCAAGAGGACAAACAGTAAAGATTAGTACAAGCAGAAACAGCCAGACCAAGAAGAAAGAAAGAAAGAAAAATACTAACTAAGGGAGAGACAGGCAGCGTGTAAAAGTAAAAGAAGTCCTATTACACAGTGAAATTTTGTATGGTCTAACATCTGTTACTTCTGAAGCAGCGATTCTTGGAGTTCAGGAAAAAAAAGAAAAGAAAAAAGAAAAACAACATCCCATCCACATGAGACAAAGTTTAGTGGTAACTTGGGGATAGTCTCTTGGTGGACCAGCGGAGGACCACCTGTGCTGTCATCCACCATGGATGACTATCCCATGCAGGGGATAATGGCCCTTTCAGTTTTGATGGGCCCCTTGTTCCAGATATTTTTTCCCCTGGGCTTCGGGAGAGTCAGTGTCTCCCGAATGATGATGAGATCAGCAACAATCAAGCCGGGGCCCACGCCTGCAGAACAGGCTGAAGTGGAGCGCCGTTAGGCTAAAAAGAAGAAAGAAAAAGAGGAAAGAAAAAGACAGAAAGAAGAAGAAGTAAAAAAGAAAATGCAGATGGAAGAAGAGAGAATGAAGAAAGAAATGAAAGAAAAGTTAGAGAAGGAGTTAAAGGAAGAACTACAAACTATAGAAGAAGAAGAGTCTGAGGAAGGGGAGAAAGACTTATCAGACGGCGGACAGGAAAGGCAGAGAGTAGTCAGGCCGGTGAATTGTTTGTTAAACCGCTGGACTGGTACGGCCAGTGTACTTATACCAGCGATCGACTCGAAGAAACAGAAGAAAGAGATGTGTTCATTGCGAGACTGACAACTGTTACAGATCAAAGAGAAAGAGATCTGATGCTTGAAGAGAAACGGGCAGAACTGCATGCTAAGATGTTGGGAGCAAAGCGGCAAGAGTTGGACGAAAGAAAGAGGCTGCACGCAGAGGGTACAAGGCTGCACAGAGAGATGCAAGAACAAAAAGACAAACAGGCGGCAACAGAAGAAAAATTAGCCCTCTTAACAACAACAATTTTGCACACCAAACAAGAATTAGAAGCAATGAACAAAACTCTGCGGAAAGTCGAGTCCCACCAGTACGAATTTGAAGGAGTGTGGAACACCTTCCTTCAGAAGTCCGCAAAAGACGTCGATATGCATAGTCAGTCCTACATTGCAAAATCAGATAACCACATCACCCAGACCTTCACTCCGGCCGTAATTGAGAAGATAATTAAGGGCAGCGGCGCAAGAGGATGAGGAGGTGGTGATGGAGACGGGGATGGAGGAGATGGTGATAAAAAAGGACAGGGGGTGCTGAGAGAAGACAGTGGGGACGCTAAAAAGATTAAAGTCAAAGTGTCGTGGACTTACACAGGCAAGAGGGAGGAAAGCGTCCTGCATTGGATTGCGGTCGTAGAGTCTTATGTGTACGGTCAGCGCATCTCATATTGGGATAGAGTTTTGATGGTCACTTCATGTATGGTCGGCGATGTGATGAGCTTCGCCATATCGTTGCAAAAAGAAGCAAACTGCCAGACAATGATTGAATATTAACAGCAAACCAGGATTGAAGACTTCTTTAAGGTAGTAAGAAAACGATTTGAAGATAAAAATCTGGCTCGCCGAACTGAAATGTTAATTTTAAATATTGCGGATTGGAAATGGAAGCGTGCGTCTGCATTCAAAGCAACGATGGATGAACTCTTGCAATGTGCTGAGCATGGACTAACTCCTACTCAAATCCTCAACAACTTAGCTAGGGCACTTCCTGATCCCCTCCGGACTCAACTTTATCCCCGCACAAAAGAAGAGGGGATGACCTACGAGAAGTTCAGCAAGATCGCTATAGATCATGCTGGCTTCTTAGCTGAAGCTAACTACTGCCATTATTGGAAAGATCTGCAAGCGGGTAAGAAATGGCAGAACCGCACAATCTTAGGGAACATACCTGGGAAAGGCAACCTCCTTCT